GCTGCACTGCCACCACTGGAATCATTCCGGTTTGGAACGCAAACTCTCCTGTTTGAAAGCATGTTCTGAAGACAGTAACTGCATCTGTTAAACAACCATATTAATTGCTAAGGTATAGTGGGAATCTTAGCACTTTGGGGCTTGTTTTCTGGCTGCTAAAACATTAGACATTATTTCCTTCTCTCAGTCCATTCTGAAGCAAAAATTCAGCCCAGCAAATGGAAAACACTGATTTCCAGATCCTGCAATCATAGGAAATACTCATCCTGTATGCAAGGTAGAATGACACCTCAGCCAGTTTTGGGCTGTGGTGTAAGTGCTGTGAACTTTCCTCCTTTCTGGGCAGCTGCCCGCCAGCCAGTTGCAGGCACCCATCTTTCAGTTGTCCGACTTGCTGCATGGCTTTTTGCAGCTTAACCTTCACTAAGGGTTCTTTTATTCTAGAGGCTGCATCACCCCTTAGAAACTTAGTGGGAGCACAGACTGATCTCACCTAAGGAAGCACAGTGTGCCTGTGCAATTTCCTCTGACAGAAATCCACCTCTGATTATATGACACAGCAAGTTGGATGTGACAGCTGTCATCTGTTACCAAATGCAATAAGTGAATTGGCAACAAAATCTGAGACATCCTTTCTGCTAGGATCTGGTTTGCACTGAAGTGGGGAAAAGCCCTCCAAGGTACACAGAGAAACACCAAAGCAAGTACAGAATGCATGCCTCAAAGGGGACTGCTGGAATATCCCCTTAGTGCTTGGTGTCTGGCTCCAACAGACCCATTTCCCTGGGCACTGTGGTTCTGACTTCTGACATTTGTTTCAGTCAGCCAGCACTGCAGATGTTATTTTTACTCCCATTTCTTTACCTGTCTTGTTTGTGCAAGCTTAACGACATTGCTTCCCACGGTAAAGAGATGGAACATCAATCACCTAAGACACTGTTCCATTTCTTAAGTTGTGATACCAGGATTAAAAGAGCAGCCTCTTTGCTGTCATGGCAATAGAAAAGCATGGCACAGAGCAGATCTGATTAAGGTGGTATCATGACTGCCACGATGCACGTGACTCAGCTCCCTCGGAGAGCTCATAAAGAACATGACCTGGAATAACATCTGAGGCTTGATTTTCTCTAGCGTCCATCAGGTGCTAACAGATGAACAAAATGCTGAAGAGGACCTTTTAAAACTAAGAATATGCAGTACATTGGAAAAGCAGTTGTTGTTCCTTTGACCCAAACGCTATTCCAGCTCTCAACACTCTTTTTATCAGTGCAGGAATGTAATGCACCTCTGCAGTAACAGCAACACCAAATTAGTCCTTACTATCTCAAAACACAGCCTTTACCCCTTGGTCTCGAGTGGTGTGACTGCTGGTGCTCCCACTGCCTGTGTGATGAGAGCTGACATATTGAAATGCTGCCTGGAGAAGCTATCAAGATTTTTTGAGAGAAGTTTCTGAGAAATAGAAACACTTTTTTTTTCTTTTTTTTTTTTTTTGGCAGTTCAATTGTATTAACCCTAAATGGAACTTCTGGGGATAAAATAGTGATTTCTTGAGCTGCAGTTTCCTCTGACTGAAAATCATCCCTAACTGATTTCAAAAGCCACTGGAAAAAAAAACACAGGGATACTAGAGCTTCTCAGAATGCAAGTACAAGCATGTATTCCTCCCTGTTTATTATGGGATGGACTTGTAAAGTGCAGTCAGATGGTCAAGCAGCTGAGTAGAGAATGTGCATCTCTATTCTACATTAAGACTCATCTTAATGAACATTCTTCAGAATATACATATTTACATAAGGAATGTCTTGCTTAGCATCAATGAACTTTCAAAAGACCCCTTGGCTTTCACAGACAAATGCAATTCTCATCTCTTTGAGGCCACTGATGCAGCAGATATTGATGGGTTACTTTGTGTATGTGTATGCTGTTCCCACCATAAGCTGGGACCATAAGTAAGGGACAGAGCTGTACTCAGTGACACTGATGTGGAATAAAGTCCATAAACACATATAGAAGAATAGTTTCAATATAAGTATGTGTTAGATAATATAATATCTATACATTAAATTTCATGTGAATTGATTCAATTATTTACTTAAAGCAATTACTCAGAATTATGGTTAATATATTATATAGTTAATATTCATGCAGAATGAATGACAAGCAGTTAATATCTCAACACAGCACTGGACTGTTTACCACGTAATAATCCTCATTATTATGATTGCAGTAAACCTGTCTCTTAGAACACTGTGGCACTGAATCTTAGTATTATTTTCGCAGAATTTGGGACTGAAGGTTTATTTAGAAGAGTTTCAATAGTTATAGCATGGACATGCTTTTTTTAGTACTATATTTGCAACTATTTTACTATTGAGATAAGAGAAGTAAGGATGTGCACTCAGGAGCCATGAAGTTGTTTTACTTAAACATCACAGTGACTGATTAATAAGTTCACACTGACAGCTTTCCTTGTATTATATGTTTTTCAGATACAATCTCTTCAGCTTGCTTTGTATTATAGGAAAACATGCTTTCTGCTTAGACAGTCTTGTGTTCTGTTTTCTTATTAAAGGAGAATCTTCATATATGTGATTTCAAACTTGCCAGCTTACTAAAACAGAATGGAGGAAAGAGAACAGAGAAGGCACGTACCTTACACAGTCTGCTTGGACTAAAATGATGAATGGTATGATCTGGAAATAGTGCTATCATCACTGGTTTTGCTGGAACGGCCCCTTGGAAGCTTCCAGTGCAGGATTTATAGTTGTATGTTTGCTTTTAAGAATTTGAGAAAATTGATTTGGCTGTAAAGGTTTCTAGGTGAGTGGCTCCTGTGCATATAGAACACAACTGTAAGGTACAACATCAGCCAGACGCTGGAGCTGGAAATACACAGGTGACTTCTTATTGCTAGGACAGATAGCAGAACTGGTGAATTTTAAGACTGCACACCAAAAAGGAAGTAATGCTCTGTGCCTGAATGCCCAGATCTTAACCTTTGGATGACTTTGTAACCAGGTGCCAGGTACTGAGCTTTAATTCAGCTTTATTTTGCATTTTTGAGCTTGCAAATTGACAGCAAACCTATTACTGTTTCCACAGGTACTGCAATGGCTGCAGGAGTTTTACTGCAAAATGAACAACCATACTCTTCGTTGCTAGAGAGCAGTGTGTATCTTGCAAATATGAGTTCAGGTAATGATTTTATCATCCACTGATTTTGTCAATTACTTATGCTATTGATATAAACAGCTTAAATAAGTTCTGAAAAGAAGCAATTTTCCATAGGGGAAAAATGGACATTATTTCCAAATTTTAAGCATAAAATGTCTATAGCAAAAGCAAACTGTGTGACTTCTTATTGCCACGATGTGTTAAGATGTAGAACTTTTCAGTAACTTTCAGTTTGCCAAGTCTCTTGCTTAGAGAAATTGTTCCATGTTCAGAAGCTGCCCAGCTGAGGGCACAAAAAACCTTCAACAAAAAAACCCTCTCCAATATTGAAAGTTTCTGGGTGAGTACTTGCAAATCATGCTAGACTCAGTGGAAAAATAATGGTATGCAGCATTTTCACTTGCTCATCTCTGGCTCCATTATCACTTGATATATACAGGAGAAAAAATTCTGGGAAGAAAAAGAGTTAAGAATGAAATGTGAGAAAGAATGTAATTAACTCAGAAGCATTTTTTGTTTGTTTGTTGGCTGGACATAGGCAGCACTTGAAGAACCTTCTTCATCTCCTTCCCTTCTCTTCAACCTGACACCCAGAATAAAAGCATATTTAAGTATCTCCCAATGTTCTTATATCGGTTTCATTAGGACAGTCAGATCTTTGAGCCTTAACATTCTCCTTTTCACATACAACATCACCACAGATGTGTCCAGATGCCTGGTTTCTACAGAAATCCTTACTGTGTCTTAAGAGTGGGGCTGCAGTATTCAATATTCAGTCACTCAGTCCCTGTTCAGTACCTGGAAGAAACAGCAGATTTTTGCCTCATGATTTTGTATAAAAAAAGAGCTTTCTCATCCACAATTCCTCTTTAAGGGTTACTGTTTCCATAACACAAAAGGAAAAATCAGACTGAATGAAGTATACAACCTAGGGAAAACACAGTGGGATTCTGTTAATTGACCAAAGCTATGGTGAGTTTTCCTCATCTCTCTGCTCTCTCCCCTTTAACACTCAGACAATTGGATGACTTTAAAAAAAAAAACACATCCACATTTCTGTAATCCGTTCTCCACGTAAGTTGCTTGAGAATGTTGTGCTTTTGAGAGCGCAGTAATCTTCCTGGCCAGCTCATTCTCTTTCTTAGCACGCTGGCAGCAAAGTGGGAGGCAATTTGCCACCTAATATCTACCTTCAAAAGCCTAAAGCACTCAACTGATGCATCTTCTCCTCCCCATAATCTGCTTTATCTCACTCTGTAGGGCTAACAGCTCTGGTTAATAAAAGAGCTGTGCCCTGAAAAAAAATAAGCCTTTTGTTTTGAGTAACAAATTGTGTTTGTTAGAAGATATGAATGGTCCAGAGTGAACAGTCTACAATTCATCGTGTAATGAGCCATTTCAGTAGCAGCACACTAATCCCAATTATTACAGAGCTAATGATGCATTTTGCAGCAGCTCAGCAGAGGGAGAGAGGTGGTTGTGGAATGTAAAACCAGGAGTTGGGGGCGTATAATGTACTTACAGATTCCTCAGGAAGCAGAGCCTCCAAATACATTTTGATTGTTCTCTTGAATATATTATTTTGTGCCTAACTGAGTTCTGAATGTATGTTATTTACAACTAACTAAAATACTCACATTGTTTATGGAAAAATGTTTTGGTTGTTCCCAGTCCATTTTCAAAATTATCTACTTGAAATGCAACTATTTTCATCAGCAGCGGAACACTTTGTCCCAAACAATTCATATAGAATGTCACTGCCACGGGGCTGGCTGGCAGCAGAGCCCTCATTGTTTGTCACTATGGAGACAGCTCAGCCCATGCTGACTAGCTGCTCCAGCAGAAGGAGGGATGCGCATCTCGCTGCAACTTCAGTGCTGAGCAACTTGGCTTTCAGACCCGTGCCTGCTCGGCAGCTGTGCTGTGCTGTCACTGGTGCTGGTCATCATGCAGGGCTCACCCCGGCGGCGCTCAGCAGTGAGTATTTTTAGCAACTTTTTCCAGGGTCGGAGGCATTCTTCCTCCGATCCGCTTCTTCGCATCATCCAGAGGCGCCGGAGCTCAGTTGTTGAGGTTCTCTCATCATCGACGCACCGGGTGATGGTGGCAATATCGTCGCTGAGCCCCGAGGAGATGGATGCAACTTTTCCTGAGAAAAAAAGTAAAGTAGCTCTCCTTAAGACTGTTGGCAGTTCTGTTGTTGTTGTTGACTCTGCTAATAAATACATACACTTCTGTTCTGTTGACCGTATTTTATATATACATGCATAAAATAGTATTTTTTTTCCTGTGTTTTATGTTTTGTTCATCGATTCCTTATCTGAGGATTAATGCATGCTTTTCACTGTAACATAAAATAGAAGCACACCTTCATGCACCTGCCACACCACACGGATGTGGCTCTTTCTGATTTCAGGTGTCTGTCAGTTGTTGCCCTGCACAGGGTGTTGCACGCCGATAGCTTCATCAGGAAAAGAACACATCTGCTGTGACAAACACCAGCTTTAGTAATGCGAGGGTTTTGTTTTTTTCTCAGAATCCTTAGAGTCTGCCTTGAAAAATGAGTTGTAAACATATACTGTACATTTATGCTCTTTATAACTTTATCATTTGAGGTTGAACAAATACTTGTATGGTGGAGATGAATTCACGAGGCTCTTATTGAAGGGGTTTTTGCCTCTGTTATAGGAAGTTCAAGGCGGCCGACGGCAAAATACACAAAAGTGGGGGAGCGCCTTCGCCACGTCATCCCTGGGCACATGCAGTGCTCGATGGCATGCGGTGGCCGTGCGTGCAAGTATGAGAATCCGGCTCGATGGAGTGACCAGGAGCAAGCTATTAAAGGGCTCTACTCTTCTTGGTAGTATGCAGCATTTACTGTCACTAAATGTAACTGCAGCCTTTATATGTATTAAAAGAGAAGTCAAAGTAAACTGACATGAATTCTAATAAAAATATCCTGCACTACAGACAGTTTTCACTGAGATTTAAAATGCAAAGGAGTTAGAATGTGTTCATAACGGAATTTCAAGTGAGGTAAAAACATTTATTGGAGATGAAATATGTTTGAAGAAAGCATATTCATATTCGGCATTACTGATGTGAAGCACACCTTCACATTCTTACTGATCTAACAGTGAATGCTGCACAGAAGCATAACAGCTTTAAAGGGCCAAACAGGGAGCAGCTCACATTTCTATTCAAAGGAATGTTTTACTATGTTAATTGGACTGGCATTCGAACAATTCCAGTAAAGGCTTTTTGATGTGTGATATCTGTCTCCACTTAACAGGATTCATCACTAACACTGTGTGATGAGAGTTTTTTGAAAAAGAATTTCTAGTACATCAGCAGCACGTCTGTCATAATGAAAATAACACAGCAGCCTTAGCTTGGCAAATTAATTCCCAGGAATTAACATAATTACTCTCCTTATTAATGTAAAAATAGTAAATATTATTTTTTAATTCCTCAGGATAACAGATAACATACTGGCTATGGCTCGACCCTCAACAGAATTAATTGAAAAGTACAACATCATTGAACAGTTTGAAAGGTAAGAAAATTTACCCATTGTTTATTGTACATATTACTAATAGAATTCCCAGTCTGTTTTCTCTTTCAGCCTATATTTGGATTTTGGTAAAGGTCCATATTCTCCACTAGGAATAAACACGTATTTCATCTCTTCCTTCCTTAGATGTGGCATAAAAACCATAATTAACCTGCAGCGTCCTGGGGAGCACGCGAGCTGTGGGAATCCGCTGGAGCAAGAAAGTGGCTTCACCTACCTTCCTGAGGCGTTCATGGAGGCTGGCAGTATGTGCACTCCTGCTGCTGGGCCTCATTCATTATTCATTTCAGCTCCAGATATTTTTACTTGAATTTGCATGTCTTAAATAGCTATGTAAGAAATGTTGCACGAGTTAGGGTGTAAGAATCAAAGCCAGGCTGGATGTGGCTCTGGGCAGCCTGGTCTGGTGGTTGGCATGGCAGAGGGGTAGAAACTAGATGATCATTGAGGTCCTTTTCAACCCAGGCCATTTTATGATAAAGCTGGGCAAATATAATCCATGGTGAATAACACATTATCCACTTAGAAGAAAGAAGGGACAACAGCTGGTTAACTTTCTTCTCAGTTCCCAAATATCTAGCCATTTGTAATGACAGGATTTTTTGTGTTTTCATGTGATGACATGCGTAAATGCGCCTCTGTATAAGAAAAAGCTTTTGACTGAAGCAGTGCTTTAATTTCTAAAAGGGAAAAATGATGCTTTACTTCTAGATAGCTCAGTAATTTTTGTATGAATCATTCAGTTTTGTTAAATTTTTTGCATTGCAGCTGGAGTTTGACAGTCCAGTGCTAGCTTCATGCATTTATCAAATTGCAATAGCAAGAGTACTCTGAAATAGGAAAATAATCTCTTGTAAACAGTATGTAGTCAGATTCCCCCAAGAATCTTTATACAATTTTTTTACTATAATTTACTATTAGTCATCTCTCCTCTGCATATAGTACCGAAAACTTCACTTTCAGTAAAGCAAATAACTCATTCTCTTTTTGTTTTAGTTTACTTTTATAATTTTGGATGGAAGGATTATGGAGTGGCATCTCTTACTACTATACTTGACATGGTAAAAGTCATGGCTTTTGCGCTGCAGGAAGGCAGAGTGGCTGTTCACTGTCATGCGGGACTTGGACGGACAGGTATGTTGTTCTGCTGCACGACACCAGAACTGCCATTCTGAAGATGCAAAGCACCCTCTGTTCATAAATTATTAATAATTTAAATTCACTGCAAGATCTCTAAAGTCTTTACAGCTCTTTATAGATCTTGTAAAGATCTTTACAAGATCTATAAAGTAATTAAAATATTAAACAAATCTGTGAAAACAATCTGTCAGTAGCTGGAAGAGATCAGTTTTAGTATGTAAAAACAGCAACCTGCAAGGTTAGATTTTTTTTTTTTTTTTTTAATTTCAGTGCAGTAATTCCCTGCTGCATTCAATGGGACAGTTTCCTTTTGGTGGGAAAAAAAGTCACCCAAAATTTCATTTACTCCTCGCTTTTTCAAGACCTATTTGCGTAAGTTTTTCCCATAGAAGCCTCTACTGCTCTCACTGAAAGCATAGTGAGAATGGATTTACTGTCTTGTGGTCCAACAAAAGCAACTAACCCCACAGCATCATATAATAGTGGGCACAATGCTTGTATCTTCACCTATATTCATTTTCATCCCATAGTTCTTCTGAATAATTGTTTTTGTTTGAAAATTCTTGAACCAATGCTTGTGTTTCTGTGTTCCAGGTGTTCTAGTAGCATGCTACTTAGTTTTTGCAACAAGAATGACTGCTGATCAAGCCATTCTTTTTGTCAGAGCAAAAAGGCCTAATTCTATTCAGACTAGAGGGCAGTTACTGTGCATCAGAGAATTCACTCAGTTTTTGATTCCTCTCAGAAACGTATTTGCTTGCTGTGAGCCCAAGGCACACAGGGTGACGCTGTCCCAGTACCTGACCCGCCAGAGACACCTGCTCCATGGTTACGAGAGCAGGCACCTCAAACACGTGCCAAAACTCATTCACCTAGTGTGCAAGCTGCTGCTAGACTTGGCTGAAAACAGACAAGTGGTAGAGGCAGAGCTCTTAAACATAGCAGATCTCTCAGCTGAAATTGAAAAGACTGTCTCCCAGCTGGTGTCGACACAGCTGGATGGAGACCTTGCCAGGCAGGACAGTGACACGTCGGACTCCTCGCACACCCACTCGGCCACTTGTGACACACAGGATTCTCTTTTCTCCCTTGCACATGAATGTGATCCTCTTTGGAAAAGGAGGAACGTCGAATGCCTTCAGCCTCTGTCTCACGTGAGGAGACGTCTAAGCTACAGTGACTCAGACCTAAGGAGAACTGAGTTCCTCTTAGAGCAAGGAGAAACGGCATGGACGGTACCTGCTCAGATATTACTGTGCAACAAACTTAAGCAGAACAGTGGTGAGGACAGTTCTGCCACAGACGAGCAAAAGCCTCAGCTGGATTTGAACAAAGAAGCATTAGTGCGTAACACGTGTACAATTTGGAGTCAGACTAAGTTTAATTTGGATGGGCAAAAAGATGGATCTTCACTTTATCAGAGAAGGAACTCTACCAAAGAAGTACAACGCAGCAGAACTTTTTCTTCAGGTCTAGCATCTCTCCACTATACCAGGGAGCCTGGAACACCAAGGCATAATTTCACCAATGAGGTTGGCCATAGAAAAGAATGTGAGACTCGTATGTACAGCAGAAGAGTCTATGTCTCAGAGGATTCTGATTCTTCTTCTTCTTCTAAAGTGAACTTTTCCATTGGATGTGAAAGCCAAGGTAGCAAAGATCCGTCAGAGGCAATTCCACACATTGTTCTGCAGTCAGAATTAAGTTTGGAAGCTCGAAGAATTTTGGCAGCAAAAGCACTTGCAAATATAAATGAATTTCTGGAAGAGGATGAAGTGAAGCAGAAGGTAGAAATGTGGCAGGTAATTTTTAATTTCATTCAGTGTTATGTATTCTGAATATTCCACTGCATTTAATTCTTAAATGGCAAAAATGCCACCACTTTGAAATGGCACGCTGGGACACAGATTTATGCTCTGGTTAAGAAAATAAAAATTGTATTTGTCAGTTAGGAGTCAAATCTTTCAATAATATGTGAAATGAACCTACAAATTTCAGTACCCAACAGGAAGTTAGAACATTTTTTCAGATTGTGTTCATCCATTTCACTAACTAATGAAAATTGGTGCTGTTACCTCTGGTTTAACTTAGCTCCTATAGCATAAAAGTGCTACTGATTTTAAGTTAGAGATATGTTGTTTTTAATCTGTGCTTCCTCTGAACTAATCAGAGGATTCTGCCTATAATTCAGTAGAAACTTAACTGCTATTCTCAAAACCAAATCCTCCCAGCAGGAAGTAGGAATCCAATGCTGTGTTATATATTCTGAGAGATAACAGCGAGATTCTGAGCTGCACTATTTACATCACCTTTCTGTGTTAAAGAATCATTTGCATTACTGCTGATTAACATTGACATCATGGAAAAAATTTCCTTTTTTGTAACCATTAAGTCTTCTTTTCATATTGGAATGTAAGCAGCCTAATACTGTTGCAGTTGAAAGGAATATTAGCAAAAGTAAACAGATGATGCATTTGTAGTTTCTTTTTTCTTTTTTCTTTCCTTTCCTTTTTTTTTTTTAAAGAAAGAACTGAATTCTCGAGATGGAGCTTGGGATAAAATCTCTACTGAGAGAGATCCTTTCATCCTCTGTAGCTTGATGTGGTCCTGGATAGAGCAACTGAAAGAGCCTATTATATCCAAAGATGATATTGACATGTTGGCAAAAAATTCCATAGAATCACAAGATGCACTTAACTTACTGAAAAAGGTAGATGTTTTATATGTCAATGCATTGTTTGAGCATGTTTTGTTACTCTATTCATTTGTGACCTTTAAACATGGTAATTAAACATTCAAAAGGCACCTTCAATCTCTTTTAAAAATCAAAATGGGGATATGCCTGATCACCCAGAAATTTCCAGAGCAGTATGAGACACACGAGAGAAGATTTTCTTCCATTGTGACTGTCACAATTATATAGAAAAGCTCTTTAGGCTTGTGAAAATTCCCTCCTCACCTCCTACACCTGAAGGTTTCAATACAGGAGGGCACAGTCTGGTATTTAAACAGCAATAAACAAAAATGGAAAATTAATTGTTTTTCATGAAAAGATTTCTTCTAATGAGCTGCTGTTCCTTTTATCCACCAGGAGCAGTGTCAGACTATCCTTTGTATTTTACACTGTGTGGTGAACTTGCAAACGCTACCAGCTGATGTGGAGGAGGCCTTACTTGTTCGTGCTGTTAAAGCTTTCACTAAGGCAAGTAACTGTCCAAGGCATGGTATTTGTTTGTTTAAATCATGAACCAGCAGAGCAGTAAAAGTGACAGCAGTCCCTTCACACTTGGTGTACCCCTGCTGTCTCCATTCAGAATTTGTGGTTACCATCCTACATAAAAGATAGGGAATATTCTCAACAAAACCCCATTCTGTCACTGGAGCCATAGTCCTTTCGTCTCCTTTTTCTGTCTCTGGATCACTTCCAATTCATGGACTACTTCATATTAGGGAAAAGATGATTTTTAAGTGATGGGAATAAAAAGGCTCTGAGAGTAGCCTACCAAAGGCTTTGGTGGACTGTATTACTTGGACTCTTCCCATCAGATTAAATTGCTTTCTAAATTACATCGTAGTTCAGCAGGTGGAAGTATTTAAAAAGAAAGTTCATCATTTTGCTTCCTAATCTCTTGTAAATCTACAGACATGCCAGCTGTTAAAATAATCATAGCATTTCTTCATTGTTTTAATGTTTAGGCAAAACTGTTTACCATTAAGTACTCCATAATGAAAGCACTCCGTGTTTGTATTTTTTTTTTTTTTTTTAAATAAACCTGAAAACTGATTTATTTTTTTAAATGTTGCTCATCTCTGCATTTTGCCATGTGATGCCTATTTAACAACTGCATTTCAATTTCTGCCTTTTATTAGACAAGCTTTGATTCTGAAGATGGGCCGTACATTTACAATACCCTGAAAAAAGTATTTAAGCAAACACTGGAAGAAAAAAGAAAAAAGCTGAAGGAAGGAACAGAGAATCCCTCTTGATTTCTTCACGGTGATGCTGAAGGATTAGATGACTACCAAATTATTTTGCATTTTCCAGCTACTATAATTTGTGCTATTTTGCATGATTTACCTAATGTTAGGTGGCAGCCATTCTTAACATTTTATTTTTTTAGAGGGAGTTTCATTGTGAACTGTTCTATCTACATGGTTCTAAGGAACAGCTCCTGTTTGACTGTACTGCAGCTTTTTGATTTCCAGTACTATTTTATTTCACAAAATGTTCATTTGTTTTGAGCTGTATTTATTATTTAGAAACCTCTGTAATGGGCAAGCTATGCTTTGTAAAGTTACACAGTTGCCATAAGTCCAGTGCCATGGTACAAAAGGTTTGAATGGACTGAGTTAAAGTTTGTGTATTCAGTATGTTTACATTAATGTTACTTGATTTTTCTTTGAGGACAATAAATACTGACTGAAATAACTCTCCTTTTAGAAAATTTAAAGAAAGAGAAATAATTAACAGATCTTGAGGTCTGCTGTTAACAGCAGATGAAATAATTGCCACCAGTGCATTCCTCAAAGGTGCTCCACTAGAGAAATACATTAAATTCTTTAAGTTACAAAGGTCTCAATTTAGAAACTTCTGTCAAAAAAAAGGGCTTCTAATTTTTTCCTTAGTGGAAAATGAGTTTTTTCTTCTTAAATGCTTTGAATAAATTATTTTTTATTAAACTTTCATAGATTTTAAGTGAAAAAATATTTAATCATCAGACTTCTGGCCATATTTACGTTCAGCAAAAACTTACACAATAAGTGTCGTAAAATAACACTCAAAAATAATCAGTGAAGATCTTATGATCTCCAATGCACTTTATAGAGCTGTTTTCATCTAATAAGACAGAAAACAACTGGGATATCATCATATCTGCAGTTTTTGATTACAGCCTTAGGATTCAGGCTGGATTATCAGGATGCCAGATTAACAGTTCACCCATTTTGATATATATGTAGTTAGACAAGAATTTGTCATTTCAAAAATATTTTTATTTGGCACTGCAAATGACTATTTGGAGTTAAAAGTAGACCAGTTTCATATGTGTATAAATTACAAATACTTTAACTTTCAGATGATTATATATCAAATTCAGAGAAAGTTCTTTGGTAGAACTTCCTGAAGTTAGCACACTTGAAGGTAAAACACCAGATATGAAATCACATGCATGAAAGCAACTTTGTAGGAGTGGGACATGGTATGCAGCTTAGCTTTAGCCAGCATGCTTAGCAGTGCCATTTCGGAATACTAAGATACATTTGCAGGTGTCACAATTTCCCAGGGAATTACTTCTGCTTATGAAAGCTGAGCAGTTCCAAATAGGCGACACCAATTCCTGGCATGATACACAGTGTGGAGACCAATATGGAATTGTTTAAATGTTGGTAATTAACAAAGACTACATGTCATTAAACCTAGCTAGAATGATCTGTTGCGAGTTAATGGCAGGTGTTTGCAAGGGCAAGGGCAGATGGATATTGTAGAACTGGGTGCTTTTTTATGTACTATTTTTTGTTTGTTTGTTTGTTTCAATGACAAATGTGGTTGCAATTACCAGCAAGTGAACCACACCTGACTGAATCCATCATGGGGAAAAGAAACCAAGAATAGCCCATCTAAATGAATAATCAAGCCCACAGACTTCAGCAGCATCCTATTAAGTCGTTTCTTACCTGAGTGATGTATTTATTTTCCACATCATCTTCTCGTGTTCTTAACCTGACTCAAATTTGTGTGACAGCCTTGCAGCTGTGGGCTACATGTGGGCAGATTTCTCTTAATGAAAAGAGAAGAGAAATGCAGGGGCATGCTGACAATCTGTTACCTAAACACACTGCAGCAAAACAGTCATGAGCTAGTGGCAGGATGGGATAGGAGGACCCCATTTCCTAACCAGGAGGTTACCTCAGTATCAGCAGCAGCAGTGATACTCCCTGCAATAGCTACTGCAAGAGACTGCATAAAACAGTTGGGGTTCTGCACTTCTGACAAGACTCAGTAAGGCTTGTCAGCCAACAAATGCCAGGAGAAATCCCTACACTGGTGCAGCACTGCCTATCTCCATAACATCAGGACTCTTCCTCTTGATCTTCTCCTGCTTCAAGTCCACAAGCCAGCTCTCTCCTAACTTATAGCAAGTTACAGTGACTAACAAAATGTCGCCAGAGGAGTCCTGAATAGAAAAACATGCAAATAATGCCCCCTGTGCTCTTCTCACTTCCCATCCATCAGCAAACACAGTCAGTTGCTTTTACCTATGGGTTTCCATACAGAGATGTAACTTTTTTTTTTTTTTTTTTTTTAAATAAGATGGAAATATTTAAAAGAAAAAAAATATTATGAAATTTATATTACATCTTGGTCAAAACAACCAATAGTCTGAAAAATAGTAGGATCTTCCCTTCATTTTGACTCACAGATGAAAAAGAACCTTCAACTAGTAAACAAATACCTCTTGCCGCTTCTTTTCCTTGGCTCCAGTTGTCTGCTGAGAACAGCATGCTCTGAGTCAAACACTTCAGTACTTCTTTCTCCACCTGCACAGAAACAATGAGTTGAGATTTTCCTGTGGCTCTTGGATAAAAATCTACTTATTCTAGGTCTGGATCTGTCAGCATATCAATTGTGCACAGCTGCTAATAAAGACTTCTCCTACAGGATTCTACGTATTTTGAAGTGTAAATAATTCACACACACATCTAGCTACTTTATAAAGCATTTTGAGAAGGGAAAGTGATCTTAATTCTCTGATCACCAGTGTCTTCAGGGTGCAATATTCGCTTCATTCTTTGGCTTTAGGGTTGCTGGAAGATCAATAAAAGCCCATCAAGAAAGAATAAATTTAGATTTATTGCTGTTCCAGCTTCTCGCTCTCCTGCAGCAGAATGCAGAGCAGAAGAAAAGCAATGGGCAATGACAGACAGCAGCTCCTTCAGGAACATAGTGCATAGCACAGTCTCACTATAGAAACAAGTAGTAGAGGTTAAAATGAAGAATTCCCTTCATTTCAGTGACACGGTGTCAGAGGTACAGTGGCGCTCCCTGCCCACTTCGCACATCTGTTTTCCACAGAAGATTGTGCAGCCGATTTGTTTTGGAGTTACAACATATGACAGAGTAGCAGATTAACAAATATTTGATAGGGCATGTTTTGATCAGCGTCACCTAGCTTTTTGTAATGTTGCCACATTTACTCTCAAGAATAAGCTGAGGCCAGTTAGCATAAAATGCCTGCATAACCACCACAGCCACAGTGAGGATGGAGCCTGGATCCTGTCCCCATGGCCTAAGCAGACAGAATTCTTCCTTGAATCCTGATCGCATTGCAGCCCCACTCGACACCAAACAAAGGGCTCTACCAACAGAAAACAAACTTTATGACAAGATACTTATTTAGAGCACAGAAAAATTTAAAGAAAATATCCTTCACAATAACTTAAAGCAAAAAAAAAAAAAAAAAAAAAAAAAAAAAAGCAAAAAAAGAAAGCATTCAGTATTGGCACTGTGACCGAGCGCTGTAAGTGCTGAAAATAACACTGTGCTTCCCGCACAAGGTTTCCACGCACCTCCATTGATACTTGCCCTCACATGCCTATTCTTACACCTGCACACATCCTGTCTGTTCCAGAGCACACCTCAGAGCACCTGCTGCCAGGCTGCACCACCTGATGTGAGCTGTGGGACACAGATTATGGAAAAAGGAGGACTCAAGATGAGAGCAGCAACAGGCTGCCGTTGGGAAATGGGGATTACAAGTTGTCTTCTACATTTTCCAGTGACTAGACAATCCTGATTAGCCTGCAATCAGACTGAACACTCAAGCAGGCATTTTGTCTTCAGTGACTGGAGTAGTGCCTCACCACGTATTCCTTTCACTTTCTTTGGGAAAGGTCTTGAATCAGAAAGACTGCAGAAAAGTAGCTCTCCTGAACTACAGGGATGAGGCCTGCTGCTTGCACTGAACACAGAAACCTTTCATATATTTCAGTATCTGGCAGTAGGTCCCCAGAAACTTGTTACTGGAATATTCTTCAGACAGATGCCATTTTTATGTTCAATGTCATGAGTGATCCTGTTCCCTAAAAAAAAATGTTTTAAAGCAGTTAGTGATAATGTAAGAAACACTGCTAGCAAGGTGGGGGCTGACTTTCTGGAGAAGCTTTCAGCACAAGGCAATGATAATGTGAATTCAAATGACTGAATAAAAGCAAAAGATGATTCTAAAAGGAAAAAAAAAAAAAAAAGCAGGTAATAAAATAATAAAATAATTTACCACCTCAAGGAATTTGTCTTGCATTGAGATGTAAAACTCTTCTAATCAGAGCTACAGATACTGAGCGACTTCAACATTTGAGTGTTAAACACCCAAGGAAGTACCTAAGTGAAGCCCAAGGTGTTCCAACAAAAGGGAACATTCTGGTGCAAATCGCTGTATTTCACAGGGCCTGCTGAGATGAGAGATGCAGAAGACCCAATTAAGCCGTCAGAGGGAGCAGCTGCTGCCATGGAGCTGTTACTACAGAGATATGAGCTGGTTCAAGAATGCCAGGCTGCCGGCAGAGAGGGGCTGCCTGATGCAGTCAGACACCAGCATGGAGGCCTTTAGAGAGATGCTGTTGGGCCCCATATGCCTGGTGCTGTTCACCCCTCCTGTCCTGGTCATGCCCAACCTCGGCAAGCAATGCATGGAGAAGACACACTGAGAACAGAAAATAACTGGAACGCACACAATTATTTTAATATTCATGTCTTAGAGACTTCTGTAAGTGCAAGGTCCCCCACGAAAGGCTTCCTTATGGATAATTCTGCTGCCATCAACACACATTGGTTTAAAACCCACTCACGCTCCTTATGGAGACAAAAGTTAAGTTCTGATAATGTCTGTATTCCCTGAATATGAATGAACTGAAAATGTCTACGTTCCCTGTCTAGTATGCAAGTAAACTGTGACTTCAGAGAGTAAAATGTTCGGAACTGGACTCTCACAGTGCTCTTAGGACTTGCCTCTGAATATGAAAGTTAAAAAATGATACCATTTTTACCTGTTAACAGAAATTACAATTGTCTCTGCTTGATTTACTGAATTCTGTATTCCCAAATAAACAATGCAAGTCTTGTTGATTTAGGATAAACTCTTTATACCCAAACACAAAGTATGGGCAGCTGATGGTCATGAGCCTCAAAGTCACAAATACATAGTTGAATGAAATGGCTGCCTAGATATTTCTGCACTATTTCACTATGGTTCAAAACTCTTTAGTGTAAATAAGCACAAATTATGCATTTTTCCACATAAGACTGAATTATCACAAAAATAAATTGTTCCTGTAACCTTCAAATTATATTAGTTTTTTTCCCCTCACTTAAAGGTCACTTATTTGAGGAGCAAAGGAATCACTGGCTTGATAAAAAAAACTTCATCCATAGGT